TACGCGACGCTATCCACTATCAATAAACTTGCTTGGATTTGGTTTAAGTACATGCTCTAAAATGTTGCTCAGAAATAAGATTTCGACACTTTGGTATAGGGCAACAACTGGCACCTCATTGTGTCTAAAGCCTCTTATTGAACTAAGGAAAAAGATGCATCAAAATATTACTTCTTGTTACAAACCATGAAATCTATTCAGTCTCAAATAGGAATATGGAAAAACTGAAAAGTTGTCCCCGCAAATCCTTGATTATGTTCAATCCTATGGAGGAAATATGAGGCCGACATTGCAGAGTGTTGAGAATGAGAATGAAAAGATGTGAAGAATGAGATGGTAAAGTTCTGCATTAACTTGAACAGAGAGTAAAACCTTGAGAAGTTGGTTTCGATCACAGCCGCGTCACGTACGAAGTATCAGCATCAAAGGTTAAACTAATGAAAGGTGATATTCCCTACTAGAAAGTAACCATTGCAAAACTGACAAAGATGTATAATTCTTAAGTTATATTTCAGTACATGAAAGAACTACAAGAAAAATTAGTGTACACCAATACTAATAATCATGTAAGATAAAATGATGAACAAATATTAGTGAATAGATAAACAAAGCATGAATATTAAATATAGTGACAGTTTTGTCTTCTAGTCCAGCATACGCAACGCTGATGATGTAGGCCGTGCATCGCTCCATATCGACTATGGGAAACCAAAATCTTAACATAAACTTCAAACTAATGCTAAGAGTAAAAATTCCATATGCAGAAGAAATGACATAATCTTTACAGAAACGACTTACAAATTTTACAGATCCTTAATCCTAGTAGTAATTGAGAATTGTTATTTTGATAACAATATAGTTATAGAAAACATGGCTACCTACCTATATGTCATTGCATGCCATATTCGAACAGTCCCATCCTCTGAACCCGTGATTATTATAGGAAGCTCGGGATGGAAACAAACAGTAGAAACATTGTGTGTATGGCCCTCCAGAGTTTGTACACAGCTTTTGGTTTGATAATCCCAGACCTAATTCCACAAGATTTTAAAACAAGCAACTTTAGAAGGACACATGATGTATATTTCCAGTGAAAGAGTTATTATACGGACCTTGGCCGTATGATCATCAGAACCAGTGATTAGATATGGCCTATCACCACCAGTAAAGTAATCGACACAGTTTACTCCCTTGAAATGTGCATCTAATGTAAAGTTTGGATCAGGAGAACCAAGATTCCAGATCTGAAAGTAAAACGACAGATATCAATATAGTCAAAAAGTGACAAGTAATAAGAAAGTAAGTAATGCCACATATGGAACGGAATAGACTGACACCTTTATTGTGCGATCAAGAGAAGCACTTGCAAAAGTATTCGTGTCTTTGGGGTTGAAAGTGACTTGCATCACATAGTGAGTATGTCCTTCAAAAATCTGAGTGCATATCCAACCCTTCTCCCAATCCCAGAGCTTGATCAGCATGTCATCAGATGATGACAACACATATGGAAGGGTCGGATGGACAGCCACACACCTGATATAATCTGTGTGTGCCTCAAAAACATTAACCTTGTCCATCGTATTGTAATTGTAAACACGAATATACATATCATCTGCCCCAGCTACAATCCACTGCTTTCGGGCAATAAATTTTGCAGACCGTACTGAAAATTGGAACATAATATGTTAAAAACAAAGTTTGCAGACAGTTCCAGCCGAAAACAATAGTTGAGTAGAGATAAATAAGTACCATACCAGGCAGTTCAGTGACCTCAAATGACTTTGCCATAGTCTGGAAACAGAAACAAGTAGCAATGAACTTTGTGAGGAAAAGAGTTCTAAACTATATTCATTTAGAAATTCTAAGCTAAAAATACACGATTTCTTGGAACTAAATTATTTGAACCTTTGATGAACTCAAATTCATTTTTGGAACCTAATTTTTTCTATCAATAGAAAATTTTGGGCATTGTAGAGACTAGAGAAATAGAGAAGGCAAAGTAATTATTTTATCTAACCCTAACCTCAAAAAAAGAGAAGGCAAAGTTATTAGTTCATCTAACCCTAATCTCTCTTAAATAGAGATTAGGAGGGTTACATAAGTGGATATGGATATTGGCCCAATTACCCAAATACCTAAATAGTTAAACATATAATATCATATAACAGGAATCATTTGTGGCTTTTATGACCTTTGAATTAAAAATAGGATATAGAAATTATAGGATAAGAAAAAAGGCAATAAGACATTATAATTGTAGCGTTTTTACGATTTTAAGAATAAATACATATAACTAAACATAAAGCAAGAAAAAGAAAGAAACATACCCAATAATCACATATGCATTTTATAATCATTCATTGTAATCACTGTTTTTCCATTAGTTTTAGACCAACTTACAAGAAATATACAAGAAGAAATCTCCTGGAGTATGTTATTTGTGGATGACAAAATATTATTATATTAGTTGATTAGACTAGTATGGAATATTACTAAAGTAGAAAAGAGGAGAGAACTCTCAAATATAAAAGGATTTAATATTAGAAGCACAAAATAAAATAGATCGAACATAATTTTAGTAAAACAACAAAGAGGAACAAGAATATAGTACATATTAATGGTCAAGAACTATTAACTACCAAAGAGTAATCACTTTGCTTTTTAAGATCAATCATTCGTCGTGATGATGAGATTGAGAATAATATAATTTTCCTAAGTTGCATCGAAACAAGTATAAGCACTGGTATGGGTGCGGGTATGGGACACAGCAAAAGTGTAAAGTGTAGGGTACGAGGACACGACTAGACACACACATTGAAATTAATAATTTACATGAGATTATTATTGTTTCCAATTCATTTGTTATTCGATTTAAAATTCCTATAGTTTTTTAAAGTTCTTTTATTATGTTTATTATAAATTGGAAACTGCTCATTTTTTAACTAGACACCTAAAAGACCCTTTAAATCACATTTTTAAACTTGGATGTGGACTGAAACGAACCCGACCTATGTCCAATAAGTTTTAAGGAATGGATGTGTCCAAGAAGTGTATGACAAGTGTTTTACATGAGAACATATATCATGTAACTGAGTGCATGGCTTAAAAAAATGTGTGCATATATCCAAGAGCATCCATGAAGTTCGAGTATGGGTACGTGTCTGGTACGTGTCTGGTATGGGTACGGCTTCATGATAGAAGTACTAATGTCACATAGGGTTTCTCGAACAAGTGTAGATGATTAAAATGGAGACATGCTTCTGGATTCTTATGCAATCATAAAATACATATGAGATTGAACGAAAAATATTATTAGATGGTTATAAAACCAACAATGCTTTATGGATCTGAATGTTGGGCATTTAAAAAACAACACCTGCAAAAATTGAGTGCAGCAGAATAAAAATGTTATCATGGTCTTATGGGTAAAAACTAAAAGATAGGCTAAAAAATGGCTACATTCATAGGACTATAGGAGATTAGAGGTTGACCTAATTGATGATACAATGCGAGAGAACCAATTAAGATAGCTTGGTCATGCACAATGGAGAACAATTAGTCCACCATTTAGGAGAATTGATAAGAATCAAAAGTTTATAGTTAAAACTTAAAAGAGAAATGGACTGGAGGTAGACCTAAAAGAACTTGGTCCGAAAAAAGAAAGAAGGATATGGATAATAGTTAATTTACATAGTAAATAAACCATAATAGAACTAAACGGAAGAATAATATACATGAAGTCAACCCCAAAAACTTGGAATAAAGGGTTTCATTTTGTGGCCGTATTAGAAACTATTCAAAAAATAAATAACATTAAGAGGAAACTCCATGTTATCAAGAATTGGCGAACATCAACCATCCAGGGGAAAAAAGGGGGAAATTTTGGTTCTAACTGATCTTCAAAATAATGCTCCCATTAAAATAAAATATCAACTCTACCCTCAGCGGGTTCTTTTCTTATACCGTTACAATGACAGTGCTGATAGCAAGAAGTGAACTATGTATAAAATTTTCACATAAAATGGCTAACAGTTACTTGCCTGTGATTGGTAATCCCAGATGCAGACACTCCCCGAATACAGACTCGCTAGAATCCTGCACCCAAAACGTATCCAAATATCAGCATTGTACAAATCATCAAAAGAAACTAATCAAGCACTTGTATTTAAAAATTCAAACATAAATACCATGGTTCTGTTGGATGCAGATCCACCGACTTCACCCTCTCCGACCTCTGCGCAAGTTTCCTCTGCACAACACACAAAAAATTTCAGGAACCAGACTATCAAAAATCATAAGATCCAGTCACGAGATCTAACAATTACCTTGATTTCGAGCCTGAGAGGCTGCAGCC